ATAGATTAATATTGTTTATTTTTAGTAATTCAAAAACAATGAAGAATTGGACGTAAAATTTTAAGAGAAATATATGTTTATGAATATATTAGACAATATAATTTCAGTTTTTAATGTGTCAAATTGAATAATAATTGATATTTTATCAATAACCAAAGAAAAAAAAATAAATACCTGAAATAGTTTTAAAATGGATATTCATCTATTTGTCGATATTGTAATAAATCATCATATGGATGAAATAATACAATCATAATCATAATAATCCTAATTATAAAAGACAAAATAATAATTATAATAAATTATTTATGAATTAATCAATTTAATACATTCAACTCTCATGATATTACCATTCAATTTGATTCATAAATAAAAAGATGGAGAAGATCATATTGGTTGAGTAAAGTATATTAATTTGTAGAAAATTTCAAGAGCAATCTTTTCATTAAAAAATAAGCTACTTACCAAATATAATTGAAATTCATGATCACAATTAAGTTTAAATAAATTATTAAGAAAATTTTTTTATCTCTCTCTATTATAATTATGTTCTATTGAATATCAAATTATAGTTATATTGTTTAGGTACTATAAGATAAAATAATCCAAGGGAGGAAATTTTTCAAATGATAATTGTAAATTATTTTCAATTAACTATATCTAATAAAGTATTTAATTGATTATTAAAATAATATTCATAGTAAATATATATATATATTATTTTAATTTCTTTTAAATCATGATAAGATTGATGATTAATTCAAATGAATAAAGTTGTTTGTGTCCATTGATTAATTAAACACTGAATATAGTTTTCCGATTTGAATAAATTTCAAAAAAGAAAATTCCATGATCTATCTATCTTTTTATTTTCTATAATAGATATTAAATGTTTCTTTGTAATTCTGAATAATTTTATAATAACATTTCTTGATTAAAAAATTTCCAATGTTTTTTTTTAATGTATCATTTGATGTCGAAGATGAACAAAAAAAATAAATAAATCAAATAATATTGATGAATAATAAGATATTAACATTTTTGTACATTTCGTTCGTTTTAAGTGAAGTAATATATTAATTAAATTTGTATAATTTGTTATTATTCATTGTTGTAAATCAATAAAACAATGTTGAATTATTCATATTCTATAATAATCTTAAAAATGGATATAGATGATGGATTTTTAAAATTTGTTTTGTTAAATGGATACTATTTTCAAATAAATCTATAAGCAACATATCCATATATGTAAGTCATATGTATTTATTCGAATAACTCTCTTCGATATGTAATAATAAATTGGACAACAAAATCAATTGCTTTGTTGATATTAAATAAGAATGAACAATACATTCATAAAAAATATCTATTAGAATTTTATCATTTGCAATAGATATAATTCATCTATGTTGTCGATATTATTCAAATAGTATCTTTGAGTTATTTCAATGTTCGTTTACATGAATCCAATTTGTAGTTATTATTGACGAAATTTGATAAATCATTTTGATCTGGATCATTTTATTCTTTTGCTTCCAAAAAAAAATAAAATAAACATTTAAATGTGGACAAAATTTGTTTTTTGTATTTGTATGATAATTTCTTACTGAGCAATATATGTCACTACTGCTACTTACAAAAATTTGAGAATAAATTGAATAAATAAGATCATCTAAATATGTATCATATAACATAATTTTTTGTTTTTTTGAAATTGGATGAATTCTATGATAAATCTTCGGTGAAGAATTCATTCTCAATCATTTGAAAAATATCGATGATATAAATCATTGTGCTGATGAATGCAGTCTAAATAAAACATTGATTTGTAATAGAATAATTCGTTATTTTTCTGTAATAATAAATACAACAAACTATTTACAAAAAAAACAAAAAATGCAAATTTACTTTCTTATTGATATTCGATTTTTCAATCATATTTATTATTTATTAAATAATGTCTTTTCAAGTGTTTTTAATTGTATTATTGTTTTAAGATCAGATTCCATGAAATGACACTTCATTATGATCTTGACAATTCTAATGTCTCGTTCTTTCTTATGAAAAATAAAATGTGAGCGAAAAAAGAAATAAAACGACGACGACGACCGGATGATTTATTTTTCTCGTCCATAATTATTATGATCTAATTATTATTTGAACGAGAGAAAAAATGTATTGAAATGTATATAAAAATGAATGATTTTCAACTAAAAAAATCATTCAATTATTTGAATCATATTCTAACATTTTTTCTTTTATATTTTAGGTTACTTCTCAAAGACTCAAAATTAATCAATTCAATATCAATATCAACACAATACAATCAAACCTAAAAATGTAGGTATTAGTTTTCAATTTTTCTTTTTTTCTTTTTTTCTTAAAGATCATTTCGAAGGTAGTAAGACTTCGATTGATCTTTTTATATTTTAGGTATTGGTCTCAACAACTCAAAATTAAATCAAGTCAATATGAAAACAATAAAATAAAATGTATGTATCCTTTTTTCACTAATTCCCTTTCTATATGGATTAATTTTCTTTTTTTTTTCGTTTCAGCCATCAACATCAGCACGAAAGGGTGAGTGATTATTTATTTCTTTTCTTATTGAGTTTGAGTTGAGAGGAGAATAAGTTAGGTTGAGATCTCGTACTATATCAGGTCTTCCGGACAGGCCTTAAACACCGGCCAGGAACTGTCTTGGTGTCTGTGACAACACGGTCGGGTCCCAGGCTCACTGACATATGTCACCGGATGGGTGCATGTGGATGATGTGAGTTTTTCCGCGCGTGTACGAGCGTTACGCTCGCCACAGCGTCACCAGGATGGTTCCTGGTCGCGCGCGCGCGTGAATAGAAATGAAAAAAAAAATTTTTCGATTCGAATGCAATTTATTGAATTGGAAAAAATTGAACACGATTATTTTCATAATCGACGACATAGAGATTGCCTTGTCGATCAAAAGACAAACCCACGGGAAGATTGAACTGATTTGCTTCTGCTCCTTCACCATTTCCACCCACAATAACAGTACCCTGTTTTGCTCCTTTAGGCCAACGCATTACTCGATGATTCGACGAATCTGCCACATAGATGGTACCAGACGTATCGACGAAGAGTCCTTGAGGATACGACAATTGTGTCAGAGCCTTCCCTTCACCTTGACCTCCAGCGACGACAATGCCTTCTTTTGCACCTTTATTCCATTTAATGACACGCCGATTGTTGTTGTCTGACACGTAAACAGTCTGTTGTTGATCAACAAATATGTAGGCCGGAAAGTTGAGTTGATTGAGACCAGCACCTTTGCCATTTCCACCAGCTACAATAGTTCCATTCTTGTCTCCAATTTGATATCGACTGACTTCATGTTTTTCGACGTCAGAGACGTAGAGATATCTCTGATCATCCATGAACAATCCCCGACAATCGATGTTGTCGATGAGGATTTCTCCTTGAGTTGTACCACTACGACGAGACCATCGTACGACTCGTCGATTTCTACAATCGCAGATAATGAGACTATCAGTCTCTTTGTCGATGAGCGCATTGATTGGCTCATTCAATTGGTCCAATCGATTTCCTTGGCCCTTGCCACCGGCTACGACTTGTCCATTCGTATCACCCATCTTCCATTGGACGATGCGATCATTCCAGAAGTCAGCAATGATCATTGTTTGATCATCATCAACAAAGAGACCACCAGGATCCGCGAGTTGATTTGTGGCATTGCCGCATCCATTATCTCCAGCAACGGTCTTTCCATTCTGTGACCATTGAGCATCAATTGGAATATTGGGAATAACTACAACGAACAAAGAAAATGAATCATCATTATCGAAGAGATCTTTGTCTCTCATACATAAGGAAGTACTTTTCGTAACTTATTCTTTAAGAAAAGGACTTTGTAAGAATTCTGCTGTGTCAATAATTATTTCTAATATCTGAAATGTTAAGCTTTCAAAATTCTAAGGAGATTTCCATGTACGAGTTCATAAGTGTAAAGAAAACAAAATTTTGCAAGCATGAAAAGCAAAGAAAAAAAGACAATGAATAGTTCTTTTTGTAGAGTTTGAAGTCTTTCTTGTTTCTCTCTTTCTCTTCTAATGCTCATCAATTTTCTGTGTTCCTTCAAAAATTCGGCAATTTTTTCTTTCTATATCATTTCCAAGCGTATTGATTACTCTAGCCAACGGTATAGCTTCCTTTTGACTTATTCTCTAGACTGAGGGAGAGTCATATCAAATAAAATGTGCCAGTATGTGTGTATGTGTCAGGGTGAAAAAAAACATTGTCTGAAACAATAATGCTTACTTCTTTTCTACATCTACTCCGGTAGAGCTTGACAAAAAGTTTTATGGGGTTGAGGAATCAATTGGTACCATTGGTTTTTGAAAACTTTCAGATAGATGCTTTAGTAATGAAAAAAGGCTTGTTTTAGCTCAAAGAAAAACTGTGCTTCAAACTACGTAAACTAAAAATTAGGAGCTCATTTTAGGAACCACCTCAGATGGCAGTAGCATCACCTGGGATGGTGCTAGCATCAATTGGTATGCTAGGAGCATCAACTGGAATGTTGATAGCATCTTAGATGATGCTACTAGCATCCCAATGGAAGCTCTGAGATCCCAGGTTATATATCTAGTGAACATTAGTTATAATTCCCGAGCTAGTATCTCAGTGGAATGCGATCTTACTACGATAAACCAGAAAACATAGATTGCGTTTTATCGGATGAGTAAGTGAGCTCCATGTTTGGAGTTTGCATGTGGAGCTCACTTTTTTTGAACCGGTTTTCAAGGAAAACAATGATTTCTTGTCAACTTTGACTAAAGGTTTTCGGCGTCGAGGAATTGATTGGTGGGATTGGTTTTTGAAAATTTTCGAATGGATTTTCTCACTGAAGAATGTTTTTTTGCAGAAAAACATGGTATTTCATAAAGTTGGACTTAATATTCTTGAGAGTTGAGAACTCGAGTCCATCAATGATCCCTGAAGATCAGTGAATTCGAGGATCACAATGTGGGATATCAATTCAGTCAATAAAGTATCAGAGTGCGCCAAATAATCCTTCTTACTTCATAATAGAGCTGATCACGGTTCGGAGAATCAGTGCCTTATTTTCTGACAAGCATTTTTAAACGTCATTCAAGTTCAAATCGTTGCTTTTTTTTTATGGTGTTTGTTTGAGATTATCGAGGATAGCAAGACGATGATAAGTTATATGAATTTAAAAGCTATGCTCTGTAAACGTATATTTTTTTTTGTTCCCGCAATTGCAGGGAGGCTG